TTTTTAAAAATGTTGTAATTCAATTTTTCTTTTTTCTTTTTTGTACCGGGGATTGAACTCGGGTCTTTGCTCTTGCAAGGCAGGCCACCAAACTGCTGAGCTAAATCCCCGGCGTAATTCAATTTTTCTAAAAACTCAGAAAATGGCGAAGCCAGCACAGAAATCTTCCATGGTTTGTGTCTCTGCTGTTGGTGGTAGAAGTGATCCTGCTCACCTGTTCTAAGGCTCTGGGGCCGGGTCTTCCAGTTCTGATGATCTTCCCAGAGCAGCCAGCCCCGCCCCGCGGAGACCCAGCCCATCGGACCCCACCCGCAGTGCCCCGCCCCATAAAGACCCCGCCCTCTCAGAGGCTCCGCCCCTGGTCAGCCGCTTGCCCAAAGCAAGAGATGCAGCTGCCCCTAGGTAAACGAACGGGCACCCAAAGTGCTCCCCTCCAGGCTGGGCTTCCCTGGCCTGGCAGGTACATAACCACCAAGGGCCCAAGACTCTCACATCCAACTTTAGATTTGGGGGATCAGGATCCAGCTGTTTTCCTCCTTAAGGCAATGAGACCCACAGCTTGTGGGAAACAAGGCCAGTTAGCACACAGGTTAGGGCTGGGAAGTCCACCCTGGTGGATGCACAGGCCGAGTCTCACCCCACTGGCCAGCAAATCGAGGCCCTGTTGCTGCCAGCTGGGGGCAGGGACTGGGGAGAAGTCACACCCTGGCCTGAAGGTCTCAAGGCTGTAGGTGGCAGGGGCAGACACGCATCCAGGGAGGGAATTTGGGTCTATCCCTCACCCTGGCTCCTGGGTGGTGAAATCCAAGACTGCAGTGAGGACACCAGCACCTCTATCATCATTCACTGGAGCTTTGCACTGGGCTCTTCCAGCCCCTGTGTCCGCCCCTTGTCTCATTTCTTGGTCACTCTGTCTGTCTGTCTGTCTGTACAGGTATAGCTCTGTGCCCGTATGCACACATACAGATCTGCATGGAAATGTGTGCTTGTGTGTGGGTTAGGGGGGGTGCCTTGTGTGGCTTAAGCTGTTCAGTGAAGTTATATGGTGTTTAACGAAAGGGTTTGCTTACTTACTTTTCAATAAATTCACTCGCTTTCATTAGGTCCCACACCGAGCAATTTCTTTCAGGTTCTGTTGAACTAGAAATATCTGAAAGCAACAGCAAAATGGCCATTGCCTGCTATGAAGCCTCGTCAGTAGGCTCGAAACCAAACCAGAGAAGGGTAACAAAGGCTATTTGACCGAAAGATGCAGGATCTGTGACCCTGAGCTGGTTAGAGCAGTCACGGGTAAACATCGCTCTGTCAAAGGGCTCACAGCTAACGGCGATGCCCTGTTAGGTGGAGAAGTGACAGGAAACCACAGAGAAAGTCAGAGTGGGAATCTGGGACGGGATTCTCAGTCAGAGGATGTCGGAGGATCACATGAGATCTGGGGGTTCAGGGAGGAGTTGCCGTTGCGAAGCTGAAACCTGAACTGTGCTACAGTATTGATCTCAGATAAGTTTGATTTCAGAGACGTGAAGTGGGAAAGAATAAACAATTGGTGATTAATGGCTACTCTGAGTGTGAAGCAAGCAGAGGCACGGGACAATCTAACAGGAATCCCTGCAGAGCGAGGTGGGTATGCAGTGTTTTGTTCTGGCTGCTCACAGAGGCCAGAGAGCCAGGGATCGGGGTGCCCTGCCGGGTGGCCCAGGTTCCCAAGAAGAAGGAATGCAGGGTTGAGTTTTAACCTCAAGGATGGAAGAGTAGCCCCATGTGGAAGTGCATGCCTATAATCCAAGCACCCAGGAGGCTGAGGCAGGAGAATTGCTGGACGTTCCAGGTCATCCTTGACTAGATAGTAAGTTCAAGGCCAGCCTGCATGACATAGTGAGACCCTATCTCAAACAAACAAAAAGAATGGAGCAGTGGTCTGTCTGGGTGGACAGAGAGGCCAGCTAATATTGGCCACTGCTGGGAGGAGACTGTTGCCCCAGCTTCCACTCTTGTGGGTTCTGTAGGGTTGGTGTGTCCCCTCCCCCACCCACCTACTGAACACAATCCCTACAGTGCTGTATCAGTGGGATTTGGGGACATGATTAGGGTTCAGCGAGGACCTCAGAAGAGGAAGTGAGATCTAAGCTGGCCCCTTGCTCTGTCTGCCACCCGTCACCCTGTACCACTTCAGGGTATGGCGAGAAGGCCCTCGCCAGATGCCAGCACCGTACCCTTGGGCTCCCCGGCACTCAGGAGGCTGAGGATGAGTTTGGGACCAGCTATGTAGTAAGACTCTGTCTCAAACCCCAGCCCCCCAAATAGAATAAAATTGTTACTGCCC